AATGTCATTATTTACATAGTTCTTCTTAAGAGGTATTATTAACGATGTTTTTTTAGATTTTATATTTACTTTAGTTAACTTTGATTTCTGTTTATCAAAATTTTTTTATTTCAGTTTTATATTGGATTTAGTTTATATAGTTTATTTTGTCATAGTAACCAACATAATGATTTGCATGCGTTTATCTTTTAAAACATGATTTTTCTTTAAAGAAACTAAACTAAACCAAACCAAAATCGATTGAAACCAAACTAGTTATAGTTTACTTTAGCTGAAAATTCAAGAACCAAACTAATCAAACCGAACCGAACCAATAAAATAACCGAAGTGTATATCCCTACTTTAGACAATCATATGTAGTTACCTCTACTTTAGACTAGTACATCATCAATACAATGCAATGTAATTATCTTATTTTATTTTCTTTTGTAAAACCCCAAAATCCATTTCCAGAATTAAAGATCTTGTATATTTGTTCAAATTGAGAATTATTTTAATTAGGAATTATTTTAAAAATAATTTTATATTATTTTATAAACATGAAATATATCGAGAATAAAATGAAACTATATTTATATGTATTATTGTACATGTTATTACAAAAGTTCAAAACAATATTTCAAATACTATACAAACTCGTATATTGATTGTATCTGACTTGAAAATCTTTAATTATGATTATTTTCTTTATAAAAAGATATTAATATTTTAAGTTCTACAAGTATTTTTGATCGGAAAATTAAATAATCTAGTATTATATGTGCATATATATTCTTCAACTAAATATTGACTGCGCAAAATTATGATTTGAATAGTTAACCGTTAAAAAAGTTGATCGAAACCGTTATCTTTCCGTTAACCAGTTAACAGTTGACATTTCATTCCTAATTTCGCGTAATTAACTATTAATTGGAGAATAATTATGCGCGAAAAATACTTAAATATTAAAACTGTCTATTTTTCAAATACATGGAAATTATATTAAATAGATACAAAGTGATTTTTCCGTATTCATTCACATATATAAACAATTAAAACTGTTATGTTGTTTCTACTTGTTGGTAAAACTATATAGTTTCTAATATATATATATATATATATATGTGTGTGTGTGTAAAAAGTAAATAAAAATATTTCGTTAAAATAAATTATGTTGTTATCTCAATGGTTTTGGCAACCATACTTATAATACTTAATCACATAATCAATTTAATATGTGATTAATTTAAAACCATCTAGATCAGTTCTTTTTTTTTTTTTTGGTAATTAGGCTGTATATATTTTTCAACTGAATCACAATTTATTTTGGTAAATATATTAAATTCATACTATTTTTAGTTATATTTATTTCAACTTATCCTATTAGTTTGTAAATGTATTTTATAAACATCTGTATGATTTAATATATGTTGATTTAGGAAAAAAAAAGTGTTAATGTAGTTATAGTTACGTTAGCCAATATAACCTATGATATTCTAAAAACTCATACAGATATTTAAATATTCATACAATATCCATATCATAATCATCTATTATAACTTGGTTTTCAGTTGTTTAAAATTTAAGATAGTTTATATTTTTTATGGAAAATTAAATAGGAAATTATTATTTAAATTGTATTTTTATCTTAATCGAACATTAGAAGAAGAAAAATATTAAGAATTCAAAAATGTTCATTGTATCATTTTAAAATTTAAAATTTAGTAACTTTATTTTGAAAAGAAAACAATTAATGACTTTTACTCATAAACATATGCTAAAAACTCATAATTATTTAATAATAATAATAATAATATATTCTTATATGTATTACTGATTATATATATTTATATATTTAAAATTAATCAGGTATACATATATTATTGACTTTTGAATAAATTAACGTAAGAATGATCCATGAAAAATATCCCAATAGCTTTATTAATATTTATATATTAAAAATCCAATGCTTACATAAAGAATTATTTGTAAAAAAAAAACTTAAATCAAATATACATATATTATTGGATCCGTAAAATAAATTTCAAATGTTTTAGAAATATTTGTAGATATTTTGTTTGTTTGTTAAGAAAAATAAAATAAAATATAAACTAAAATATAAACATTGATAATGAAAATTGTATAATAATTTTAGTTTATCAAAGATATGAATATAACTGACCTGCAATGTGAGAAGGAACATGAATACAACATATAAAAACTGAATAATCAAATAATATTATGGAAATTCTTTTTAAAAGAAGGATTTAATTTGAATTTTAACACTAAAATACCTCGATTAAGTTTGTTTTGGATAAAAAACCCGCAAACTAAATATTTAACAAGTAAATCCTTAAACTAACTTTATTTAATGAATTAAACTCTCGTCGATCATAATTACCTTACTACTGGTAACTCTTTAGTTTAGGAGTTTCTACATAAAATAAACATAGATGAAATGTTTTATCATTAAAAACCTAAAATAAAAAAAAATTCTAACATTATCTCAAAATTAGTAACTTAAATTTTCAAAATTAACATTCTTAAAACTTTCTGTAAATATATGAGTTTGATTTGTTTTAACATCAGCATATATAAATATATATAAGTAATATTGTGAAAAACATAATATAATCAAAATTATCTACAAATTTATTATTACATTTTTATTAGATGACATATAATTTTATTCTATTTTATTCTATTTTTTTCATTTATAACTTTTTGATGATTTTTATTACAGATAAATATTTAGATAATTTTTGTTATATTTTCTGGGTTTTTAGATTTTAAATTTCTACATATATAATGTTGATTTTAAAAGGATAACAAATGACACTCATATATTTACAGAAATTTTTAAAAATGTTAATTTTGAAAATGAAAATTACAAAGTAGATAATGTTATTATAATTTGAATGTTTTGAATTTTTTTCCTAAATTAATGATTTACCAGTAGTAATTGTAGTTATGACCTACGAGGGTTTAATTTAAGAAATAAAGTTAGTTTGGAAGATTTTTCAATAAGTACTTAGTTTACGGATTTTACCCAAAACAAAGTTAGTTGAGGAATTTTAATGTTACAGATCCTTAAAAGAATTAAAATGTCTGAAGAGACTAATTTGGCATTGGAGACTTGAATAATCGTTTGTTTATAACTTGCGGCGTACAATCAGGTCCGTCTCAAAAAAAAATTGGGCCCTTGGCAAAATAGCTATACTCTTTTTTTTTACATATAATTATGATACCTAAAAATATTCTGGATCCTTATCTAAATTTTTTTTTTAAAAACATAGGCCCTTTTTCCATACTATTTATTTTAAAAAAATTTGGACCCTGGGTCCATGCCCCTCTTGCCACCCCTCAGAGACGGGCCTGCGTACAATCATTAATTAACCATGGTTAATTTAAATTCAAATTTAGAAATATAATCAAGATAAGATTTGAATTTAGTATATGATCTAAAAACGTCACATCATAACGTGTTTCACGTAATTGATCTCTAGAGGATTTGCGTGTGCTTGACGACAAATGGTTTAATCAGATGAAAACTAATCTTATGATTCGTGATGTATTTGTAAACACCTGTCGGGCATCCTAAAATGTGAACGTGAAATCTGGTTTCTTTTTTTCTTTTTTTTTTTTCTTTTTTTTTTAAAATCTGGTTTCATTTTGCGTTATTGCTTAGACCATTGCTAATAGTTTACTCTATTTTTCTTTAAAATAGAAAATTTTATAATAGATTTAATTTTTGTTTTAACAGTATTTTATTTTAAAGTAAAAAATAAAGTGATAAACAAAAGATAAACAAGTATATAGAGTAAACATATTTTTTACTTTTATTACAGAATGAATCATTAAAATATTTTTTTTAAATTTTATTTTAGAGTGTAAATTAAAATAGTTTGGAGATACCCAAATACAATATATATTAGCAATCAATATTTTTTTAACAAAAAATAGTATATCGTTTGGATCACATTTTAAATCATGATTGTTGTGATTGTGTATGGGAACTAAATTATCATTGGCTACTTTGATTTAGTTTTGGTTTAGTTGGTTATATCGTGAATTATATCAGATGATGAGTTAATTCCTATCATTAGTCAAAAATATTCTAAAATCAAATTAAACAGTATGATAACTAATCCATTCTATAGTAGTAACTAAGTGTTTCGAAATAGTCAGATATATCTGTCGATAGAGTATATTAAAAAAAATAGCAAACTACACCATTTTTTATATAGTAGGTATGTAAATAGACTGGATATAGTAATTGTTACTAAACATTATTAAAAGTATTTTAACTCTGAGAAAATTAATACTGATGACTTTTTGAACTAACGTAAGTATTTTCAGAACGCGTAATCTGTAAGGCATCAATCACAATATATGATTGCCACAATCATATATCTTATGTATCATTTATTTATGTAAACATATTTACTACTATTAACTAGAATACCCTAGGTTTCCTCTATATATATTGATACCGTCTTTGTATTGTAAAATAAAACTTCAGTAAACTTTTACATGGTATACGAGTACATGATTCATATAGTACAACCCAATCCTCATCAATCTGGTCTAAAGATAGTCCATCAATCCTTATCTAAACATTTTGAAATTAACGTTAAAAGAGATATCATCTCGAGGAGACGTATTAGGAACAAAAGTCCATCGATCCTATGCAATATATAAAATAGATGGAACATTCAATTTATCACCAATTAGTTATAGGTTAGAAACCCATCTAACTTAATATAACTAACTACTATATAAGTTTTATTTCAGTTTTTTTCATATCGGTTAATAGTGATTTATCGAGGACACCACAACTGTATCCTCAGTTTTGTGGCAACCTAAGTATAATTTATTAACTTCCATAGAGTATATTAATCTCAAAAGCTAAGAGATAATTTAGTTGGGAAATTAATATTTCTAGTAGTTAGATGACTAGTTCACATCGAAATAAAATACCACTATCAACTGAAAGAGACATGAGCCAATTCGTGTCGAGCCACAAATTTGGTACCTATATTTATTTAGCATGTAGTTCCACAATGTTTGCCACACACCCCAAAAAACAAATCAGGCCCTACACTATAGCAGAGTGTAATACACACCAATACAGAGATTCCAGGAAAACATAAACAAAGTAAAAAAAAAGATTCCAAAATTTTCTCTCCTTATCGAAAGCAAGAGACTTCTAGGGATCTGGTGAAAACCATGGAAGAAGGCGAATTTTTCAGTTGCTTCAGCGAAATTAATACTGGCATGACTATGAACAAGAAGAAGATGAGGAAGGGCAAGAATCATAAGAGGTTTAGTGAAGAACAGATCAAGTCACTTGAGGTTATATTTGAATCCGAGACGAGGCTCGAGCCGAGGAAGAAGGTGCAGTTAGCTCGAGAGCTAGGGCTGCAACCAAGACAAGTGGCTATATGGTTTCAGAACAAGAGGGCTCGCTGGAAGTCTAAGCAGCTTGAGAAAGAGTATAATCTTCTTAGAGCCAATTACAATAACTTGGCTTCACAACTCGAAATCATGAAGAAAGAAAAGCAAGCATTAGTATCTGAGGTACATACTTCTCATCATCATGTACATCTATATCAAAAAAAGATGGAAACAATACTTAATCAAATTTATCTAATCAAAATTATATATGTGTGTGTGTTTAATCAAGTTAGTCAGAAAACTATAAATATATACTAATAGAAAATAAAGTATAAATAAGCCAATTAAATCTTGACACATCCATAATCAGTTCTGACTAAATCCATATTCATTGTTTTGGGAAAATAAAATCGATCATATCATTATTTTTAACCTTTGTAAGAAAAACTATACACTACGTAACACTCCTAACACGGTCGAAAAAATCAAATATATTAGTTGGTTAATAAAATATTTCAGGGGAAGGTCAGATTGACAAAACATCGATAAACACAAAATATTATAAAAGCAAAGAAAGAATATTACCTTATATGGTGATTAGTGAATCTATATGGAGTTTGATGAATCTCTATTAATCTGCAGTTGCAGAGACTAAATGAAGAGATGCAAAAGACAAAAGAAGAAAGGAATGATGATTGTTGTGGTGAACAAAGAGTGGCTCTAAGCAGCAGCACATGGTCAGATAATGGAAAGTATGAGCCAGAAGTGAAGCTAAATCAAGGGATTGTTCTGTGTGATGACGACATTAAGACAGAGCATTTTGGATTTGAGGAAGGGTCCAATCACGAGCTCATGAACATGTTGGAGCAAGCTGGTGATAGTGGCTTGACCTCATCTGATAACTGGGGAAGTTTCAGTTCTGATTCTCTCTTAGATCAATCTAGCAGCAATTACCCTTGGTGGGATTTTTGGTCATAAATAAAATAGTGAAGAGAAAGATTGTAAATATTACACAAAAAAAAAAAATATTGTGAATAGTTTTGTAAATTGTGTTAAGAAAAACAATAAATGTTCTTTTTGCATTCTGATATTATACGGTATTTTATGCTTGATTTTACAAAATTGGAATAAACTGAGTGTTTTGACCCAAAAAAAAGGAATAAAACTCAATGTAGATTGGATGGCGTGTTTTTATTTTAAGAATCTAGCATTCTACTACCATTCTACACAATAAATAGACGAATGATCAGCTTAATACATATATCACAATCTTGATTACCTGAAGAAAATCAACAAAACAAAAAATGCAACTAGTTTTATACTTACTAGAGATTTTTCCCAGGCTACGCCCAGGTAATTTATGCAAATATCCTTACATTCTAATTTATATATTAGATCGATGTTATCCATATAGAAAATGAATTAAGATTTTTGTAAACCTTAGTTTTTATTAAGTAGTTTTTTTAATCATTATATTTAGATTATTGAAGTTGTTGCAATAGGTTAATGAATATTTTATTATTTAAATATTTGTGTTCGTTTCAGTTTTGTTTAATATTAGTTTTTTGTTTTATTTTATGTTACGTGTCAACTGTTATTTTGTGGTTTTCTTTATTTTTGTATCATATATTTCTATTGGAACTGTTTCTGAGATTAGATTCACCTCATCCTCAATATGGTTGACTATATTTGCTAATATGATTATAGAAATAATTTTAATATTTGGGTATGCCAGTCGTACATCCCATCTTTGGTGTACACATAAATATTGTTTAGGCGCAATGGTCGAGTAAGAGTAGATAGGGAAAGATAGCCAGTATGAGATATTGATAAACTTGATCCATCGTCAGTGAGTTCCGAGTCAGCACCGTTGTAGGGTTGATGAGTGGTGCCATATAAAAAAAGAGTTAATTTGAGGATTTCTCAGACCGTAGAGAATGGCCTTATTGTTGGACGTATGTAGATTGAAAATTATAGTATTTGAAGTTACTGTTTGGTTTTAAATTAATGTATCGGCTTATGTGAGTTATTTGTTTTTAATTTATATTGGGATCTGTAAATTATTTGGAGGGGCTTTGATGGATGTGAATAGGATGATGAGTACTGCTTCTTAATGAAATGATTGTTGTTAAGTTTAGCTTGCGAGTCACTCAAATATAGAGTTTTGGAATTCAACTATCTAAGAGATTTATCTTCTAATCATGTGGTTCCTTTTTTGGTTCGTATTGACCTTTGAGGCTATATTATTATTTATATACGTGTCTACTATTTAGGTAGAATATCATCATCTATTTTTACTAAAAAACTAAAAGGGACCTCAGAAAATGATGAGAACATTATAGTTCTATGATTCAAAAAAAGTAAAAGTTCTATGATTCAGAGTGTCATTTTCTATTAGATCCCTTTGATTTATGCGTGCAGAGATTGAAATTTTATAAACTGTTGAGTATTTACCTTATAGGTGTTAGAAAATAGAATATGTTTTACTGGTTAACTGTATGTTTATTTCATTCTTTCATCCCCAGCCAACCATTATTTTATACTCGCATTTTATTTTAGTATCTTCTTATTTTTTTGACTAAATTTCATTGTAGTATATGTATGAACGTTTATTTAAAATCATATTTATTTAAAAATTTCATTCTTTATATTTCACTTTAGTATCACAATGAAGTTTATCTGAAATCATATTTTCTTCCTCCAAGAAGAACACACCTTTCAATGTTTGTTAATTTAAGTTTTTATCTGTAATGATAATTGTGTGAGAAACTTCTTCAAAATTTTAATTCAGATAACACGACTTCGAATGTTATACTATAATTTTCTAGTTCTAAACATATCCCCTTTTAGAAAAAAGAAATTCTAAACATATTCATCATTTTCTTTTCAGAAAAAGGTTATTCATCATTTATAAAGTTAAGTCCAACAATATGAGTTATATAATACTTAAGGCGTCAATCAACCCACAACTCTTTCTTTCGTTTCCTTAAAATTACAGTTGCTTCTCCAGATTTTGGAATAGATTCATATACAATGCTAATTTCCTTTAGAATTTAATTCAAAGGATAAATTCAATTAATACATCGTGAAATATTATATACTTTAGCTATTGTAATCGAATTCCTCAAGTATAAACTTAAAGTTAAAGTTTTGAATTGTTTATAAAAAATGTTAGTTAGAACACAGCTCCATCTTTGATTTTTGTTTCTTATACTAACAAAATCTTCACAAACATGGATTTTCGCAATTATATTTGTATCCATGTAATGATAATGTTGTGATAAACTCCTGCAAAATATTACCTCGAATGATGGATCTTTAAAAGTTCTACAATTGTTTTGTTCTAATCAAATTCTTCACGTGTAACTTGAGGTCGAAGATCTGTGGTGTTTATATTAAAAGCGTTAGTCAACACACAGCTCTGTTTTTAAAGGTGGAAGATTTCAATCAACATGGAATGGTTAAATAAAAATATCAACTACGCTTGAGCATTATTTTCTATCCGACATTACTGAAGAAGCGGCCGGCATGGCTAAAGACTGTATCCTCTTATAACTATGCTAGGCCGTGCCCTCGTAACCACTTCCGCCTACACGTTGGGAGGACCAGTCAATGTACCACCTGCATTAATTTCAACAGCTGTTTCAGCCTCATAAAGACTACCCTTATAAATAAACTCGTACCCAAGGAGCCTTTGTTCATCTTCCAAGTAATAACCAATCAGTTTGACTGTGAATTAACTGCTCCAAGTAGTTGATCTCTGTCTGAACTCACAGCACAACAAATCACACAAACAGGTTAGAGACTCAAACAATGGAAATTCAAGATTGGAGTGAGATAATAATTAGAACAATGCTGTATGTAGCAGCCATTCTCGGCGACCTTGAAATCCACCAGGACTAAAACACCTGAGAGCCACTACAATACCAGTGCTGGATTTAGTCGGAGCTACAGTAGTCTCATCGATCCAACCTCTACAGTCAGAACCTAAATCACCTTTTCGGACAACAAAGTTCGATCTTAAGTTTCTGGTTGCAAGAGTTCGTTGAAGGTAAAGATCTCAATGTTGGCTTTGCTAAATATCTCTCCTTTCTCTTATGAACTACCGATGATTGGACAGTCGAAAGATGAATGTCATAGAGACCTGCTCTTATCTGAAGAAACACAAACAAAAGGTTGACTGAATTCATAACTAAGAACAATGAAACAGGTGGAGACTCTTACTGAGATCATATGAAGATTCTCACAAAGTTCATTCTTTTCTCATAACTTATCATTAATAAACAGATATCAAAGTTGCATAGAGACTTGAAATCTAAAATCTCAAAATTTATGGAAAATTCTACAATGAAAATTAGAAAGGAGATGGAGAGAACTTATGCTGAACACGAAAGCTGAGGCAAGAACCCATTAATAGAGAATTGATGTAAATTAAGCTGTGGAAAGCCGAAGAGACTAATGTCTAATTCTGCTCTACATAATATTTCACTCTTTCCATCCATCTAAGATACTCAACTTACTTTTTTTCTTCATATAGAGATGCAAGAAAACAGAAAGCTCATTGCTTATAACTCTCTCCTCTAAAAACTAATAGAGAACGTCTTGAAGCTCATCATCCAACTCCCTGTAATAATCAAAGGCAAAACACACAATAACATCATCTTCTGCATAGTATTCCAATATCTCAAATTCTTTTTAATGTTCAAGATAAAGAATCAAGTTGTCAGCACACTCAAACTCTGGTCCACCGTAGAAAGAAGGTGAACTGTTAATCCCTTTACAAACACAGAGCTTGGATATCCCAATTTTATCAGGCCAAGCAGAACACATAATCTCCAAATCTTCACCAGCACCACTCTTGGAGATGTTGACAACGAAGGTGATGTGAAGAACAAACTCAGGTTCAGTGATGGTGTACTTTGAACTCAGAACTGATCTATTAAATAATGTTGCCTCCACTTTAATGTCTTCTTTATCCCCAAACTTCCTTTTCAAGCTAATCAACCGCTCTCCAGGCCGTTCCTCCACAGTAAAGCGACCGTAACTTCTAGGGGACTGCAAAAACATAACCAATCAAAGTGATCAATCCCCAAAACAGAGAGGAAACATGAAAAGCTAAACTATCTAGCTAAAGTATCTACCTTTCTGCAATTGACATGGGAATAATCAAAGTATGTAGCCTTTATTGTTAGATTACCTAAAGAGGATGTGAGTGATTGACTGAAAAAAAAAATTAGTCATAAAATTGTGAAAAGTTTGTAACATGGCAAAAATAAAAATCAAAGAAAAGTTGTGTAATTAACAACACCATCGAAGATATCACCTCGGGAGAGAACTGCTTCTCTTCTCTCTTGTAAGAGACGACGATCATCAGTTTGTCTCCAGGACCGTGAACAACCTTGAACGGCCAGTGTCTCATATCGCTCTTAACAGAAGGATCGGTGATCTTCTCCGCTTGGCGTCGAAGCTACTTGATTCTTGGCCGCGTCGCCGATTAAGCGTTTGATGTCGGTTAATGCGACGTAGAAGAAACTGTGTGGTTTCCTTGGTCGTTCGGGATTATTTCGACGCGGTCGTTGATCCAGAATCTGACGCATCTGTATGTAGTGCCGAGATCGATGCCAATAGCCTTCTCAGATTTCATCGCCATTGTTGATGATTGCAAAGGTAAGATTTATCGATTTCTTTGAACTGTTGCTTTTCTTTGATTGTTCGTCTCTTGCTATTCGATGTGTTTGCATTTTGAGAGGCGCTTAAATCAAAAATACATAGAGAATAAGAGAGATGATGACAGTATGGTTGGTGAATGAGGAAGATGAAAAGCATGTTTCGTTGTTTAGATTTTTTTTTTTACTCTATAGAAGCTGGTCTAATGTGGCAAAATAACTCTTTTTCATTGGTTAATTATTTAATCTGACGTGGCTTCATGAGAGGGAAGGATTAAGCCCTTTTAATATAGTATAGATTTTTTTTCTTTGTACTTGTTACTTCGAGACGGGAGGGGGCTTCTTGAAATAACGAGCAAGACGGTAGATATACTGCTCTCTACAAGAAGCAAGCTAAACTTGGACTTCTTGTATTCTTTCTCTAAAGATGCTTGCGGTTAGCAACTACTTTCTTGATAAGGTGATACAAATCCTCAGGAATCTCAGGAGTATTAGTTGTAGAAGCCGGAAAACCGGATCGACATAGACGATATAAGAAAGACGGAGTTAAGGAAACAACGATTATATGAGACATGGAGGCGAGATAAATCTCTTTCCTTAACTCTTAATATTCGCTCCGTAGTGAGACGAAACTGTACGAATATTGAGTCCTAGGATACAACCATGGCAGACGAATCACGCTTCACTCGTGAAATGACCTAACGAACATAAATTCTACGAACACTCTTTGAAAACTTACGCTGTGAGATTGCTGGATTTTTCTGTGTAAAAAACGAGTGAGTAATGAAGAAGAGAAGCGAGGTTATTTAAAGAGAAAGACGAGAGCCACTTCCCGCAACAACTGCTGCACGTGGGCGAGAATCTCGCGGAGATCGAGGGAAGTTGAGTAGCGAAATCTTTTTCCGCAAGACTCTCTCTTTTCTCGTTTAAATATCTGAGAGGATAAACTGCGTGACGTTTTTTTTCTTATTTGTTAGACAAACTACTTGTCGTTTTAAATAAAATTGCATGCTGTTTTTTGAAGTTTAAATGGCAAGGCGTTGAGCTTCATTTGGTCCAAAAAGATAACTTCTTATCGGGCCAAAGGCCCTCCAATAAAGCCCAAGCTCAAGCCCAAGCCCAAGCCCAAGCCCAAGCCCAAGCCCAAGCCCAAGCCCAAGCCCAAGCCCACGCCCACGCCCACGCCCACGCCCACGCCGAGCCGAGCCGAGCCGAGCCGAGCCGGACGGCGGCGGCGGCGCGCGCGTGGGGAGCCTTCTCTCTCTCCAAGCTGTTTAACCTCTCATGTCACATGAACATATATATATATATTGCTCAAAGTTGTTTGTGTTGCCCGACGTGGGACAAACACACACACACATCTCTTTCTTCTGATTATTATATGGGACAGAAAGCCCATTTGTATTCACATATTTCCAGATTAGTTTAAAGGCCCATTGGCTTAACTAATTTGGTCCAACAATCCCCCACATGAATAGAAATGACTCTTCTAAACATATGTAGACTAAATGCAGACTCGATAGACTCTAAAAAAAAAATTATAAATATTCTAATCTTGACTAGACAGACTTATCGAGAGTGTTTGCAAAAAATTCACTGTGTTTGAGTTGGTGGCATTTTTAAGCCTTGAACCACTCATAGTTAATATCTGTCGGGTTTACTTTACCAGAAGGTGAACATGATGTCTTGAACCAACCGGTGTTTTATGTAGACCGAGACAACAGGCATAACGCAGCTTCATTTTCTCATAGAACTTAGTTCTCTATTGTGTTCATTGTGGCCCTGAACTATTCCTGGTTTTCATGAGTGAACTTAGAGAATATAGCCTTGCATTCATTCTCCTAGAAACGGCCTCATTTCACACTCACTAGGTGATTGACCATGAAAAGTATTGAGTAATACTTCGCTTTAGAAGCTATGGAATCATTAAAAGCTAATGCTTATCCTTGCATTTTGTAGCACTTTTATCATCTTAGGAGCTGGGAAGAGACTACTTTGTCTCAAGTACTTTAATTAGATTCTGTTTGATTTTGTTTTCCCTTTGAACCTACGTCTTGGGATCTCCAGTCATGATAGGTAGGGTTGCAATCAAACATCTTCATTTGTAATAGGCTTTAACCCCATTCCTTTTGATGATTTAGCAACAATATCTCGTGGCAAACCTTTAGTAAATGGATCCGCTAGGTTGTCAGCTGATTTGATGTAGTCTATTGTGATTACACCAGTTGAGATAAGTTGTCTAATGGTTTTATGTCGTCTTCTGATGTGACGAGATTTACCATTGTAGAGATTATTCTGAGCCCGAGCTATAGCAGATTGACTATCACAATGTATGCGTATAGCTGGCACAGGTTTCTCCCACATAGGAATATCTTCCAAAAAATTNAGCTTTGTCTAAGGCTATGAACTCAGATTCCATGGTGGATCTGGCTAGAACTGTTTGTTTGGTAGATTTCCATGATATTGCTGCTCCTCCTAGTGTAAAGACATATCCACTTGTGGATTTTGAGTTTTTAGAATCTGATATCCAGTTAGCGTCACTGTATCCTTCTAAAACTGCTGGTTCTTTACCATAGTGAAGCCCATAATCTTTTGTGTAGCGCATGTAATTGAGTACTCTCGTTATAGCTTTCCAATGTGTATGACCTGGATTACTTGTATATCGACTCAGTACGTTTACTGCATGCGCTAGATCTGGTCTTGTGCAATTGGTCAAGTACATGAGACTTCCAATCACACGTGCATATTCATTTTGTGAAACCGCTTCCCCTGAGTTCTTCGTCAAGTGCATTTGGGGATCCAACGGAGTTTTCGCCGTACTATTAGAGTAATTTTTAAATCTCTCCAATATTGTTTCAGCATAATGAGCTTGGGTTAATGTAATTCCTTTTGAATTTCTTGTTACTTTAACTCCGAGAATTACATCTGCTACTCCCAAGTCTTTCATCTCAAATTTCCCTTTGAGCATGTTCTTTGTTTGACTGATAATATCTTTATTGCTTCCAATAATAAGCATATCATCTACATATAGACATAGCAAAACATACGCATTTTTGGTAGTTTTGTAGTATATGCATTTGTCACATTCATTAATTTTGAAACCATTTGACATCATAGTACTGTCAAATTTTTCGTGCCATTGTTTAGGAGCTTGTTTAAGCCCATAAAGTGACTTTACTAGTCGGCATACTTTGCCTTCTTGTCCAGAGATAACAAAACCTTCTGGTTGTTTCATGTAAATTTCCTCTTCTAAATCACCATTTAGAAAGGCGGTTTTTACATCCATTTGATGGATTTCTAGGTCTCTTAAGGCTGTGATTGCTATCATCAGTCTTATTGTCGGAATCCTTGAACTACAAGCCTAGCTTTGTATTTTCCACCAGGTTTTCGTGTCATTATCCATTTATTTCCTAATGCTTTGCAGCCAGGTGGTAAATCTGTTATATACCATGTATAATTTTGCATGATAGAGTCAAATTCACTTCTGACAGCTTCGTTCCAAAATGGAGCTTCTGGTGAAGCCATGGCCTCTGCCAAAGTTTTTGGAACATTTTCTACTAGAAATGCCATTAGGAAATCTTCTCCAAAAGATTTTTCCTTTCGAGCTCTTTTGCTTCTTCTAGGTTCATCTTTTTCATTTTCTGAAATATCATTTGTAGAAATCTCGACGTTTGTCTCAGTTTCTGAAACATTATCGTTGTCTC